TAGGGTAGGTGGTGAGGCTGGACTGAGCTGCGACTCCCCAAGCCCGTGGTCTCTGGGCCAGAGGTCAGATCAAGAAAAACCCCTTGCGCCTGCATGCTGGTGTTCTCCCACCCCGGGAGAAACATGAGAAGAGCCGTCTTTCCGTCCTTGCTTTCGGCCCCGATCCCCCGAAACAAAAGAGCCACGCCGGACCGACCGAGGGCCACGCTAGACAGTCCGAGATGCCACGGCTTGAGCCGACCGGTCTGTTTCTACCTTGCTTTTCGTGATCTTCCCTAGCTCACCACGGTGAGCCCTCGTCTTTCATGGAAAGGCAGGATCAAACTGCAAGGTTGAGGATGATGGTAGCAAGGAGGGTAGGGGTGATAAGAGAAGGATCTGCCCCAGAGGTTTGGAGACAGTGGGAAGTCAGACCCCGGCTGAAGCAGAGCGGGGAGCGGCCGGGCGTGGACCCCTTTCTTCAGCATCCTCTCCTTTCCTCGTCCGAGATCATCCTCGGTCGTGCAACGCCACCAAGGAACATATCGGTGGGTGGCCGGGGTGGGGTTGGCAGGAGGGCGAAGGCTTCCCTGACCCATCCCAGGAGGCCTGGACCCTGGCCCAGGCACCCCCTCAACCAAGGACGCTCCCGTTGCACTGGACAACACCTTCCATCATCCCCAGCCAGCATCCCCCAAGGGCCAGGCATCAGAGCAATTGGGATAAACGGACCCAGCCTCTCCCTCTTCGAACCATGGAGCCCATCTAGCCGAGGAGGCCGTGATGCTCAGGGCTAGGAAGCAGCTGCTTTTGGAGGGGGGAGCTGGACTACAACCCCCAGAAGTCCCCCAGTGGCCACGCTGGCTGGGGCATTGTGGGAGGCACAGGGCTGTGCCCCCAAAGGCTTGCCTGTCTCCCCCCCTGGGGAAGAGCAACCCCCCCCCACCTCTATGGCCTCCGTTCTGCACAGGGCGTGAGAGAGGGGCCGGGGGAGGCTGGAGGGACTGGGTGGGGGCTGGAGGGGTCAGCGCCCTTGGCCCAAAGACCCCCTCCCAACACCATCACTGTGCCCCTGGGCGGGGTGCCCAGTCTCCAGCCATTGGCCCTCTGTGCCCCATGGCATACTATTGTTTTACAGAGAGATTCTCCAAAGCTGAGACCAGCACTTTGTTACTGGCTTCTTGGCTCTGGCATTCTGCATTATCTTACCTATCTGGAATGCTTCCACTCTGGCTTGTCTGCACTTTTAAATATTACCAGTAGCCTGGAAATAATACATTCATAGCATGTCTTTTTCCATTAGTAATACATCAGATCAGTAAAACAAGGGGATATGCAGTTCCACCTGGGCAAACAGTAGTACGACAACCACCAATGCAATGCTGCTCCTCCACTCAGCCTCGGAGCACCCTAACAGCACCTTGGCAGAGGGCTGCCCTCGGGTTCCTCCGAAAACCCCGTCTTTCCCTGAAGCTTTAGTCCTGGAAGCGACAGGCAAAGTATCTCCCCCCCCTTTTTTGGACTACAACTCCCAGAATCCACCACTCACCAAGGCCACAGCTGTGTCGGCCAGGGAGTTTCCTGGGACTTAACACTCCAAAGCGTGCTTGGCCCAGGTGCCCCCCTCGAACAAGGACTCTCCAGTTGGTTGTTGTGGGTTTTTCGGGCTCTTTGGCCGTGTTCTGAAGGTTGTTCTTCCTAACGTTGCGCCCGTCTCTGTGGCCATGGGCATCTTCAGAGGACAGCACTCTCCAGTTGCACTGAACAACAGCTCCCATCATCCCCAACCATGACACACACACCCAAGGTCTGGGAGGAATCTCTTCAGCTCCCAGTCCTCGTGGTCAGCAGCCACCAGGCCCTGGAGAGGACCTTTCTTGGCTTGCCCTTCTCTTACCCAAGCCCCATCCCTCTCCTCGCTCTTGATTGTAAGCTCCTCGAGGCTGGGACCTGGCCTTCCTTCCTTTGAAAAGCCAACGGCCACGATCCTGTTAGCGGCAGACGCCTGCGCGAAGGAAACCAGGCAAGTCTGCCTCCTCAGCAAATTGCTTCTCGTTCACACCAGAATGCCCGCGCAAGAGGGATCTGGCCCCGTCTGCTTCTTGTGCTCTGTTTGGAAACACTTCCTGCCCATCGCCAGCACAAGAAAAGCAAGATCAGTACGACGAGAGCACTTTTGCTGGCCTTCTCCTAACCTCAGGAACTCAGACGCAGTGTTAATGTCATGGGTAGTATTCTGCCGTTTTTAGGAACCCGGTGGCATCAGTTTAGATGAGGAGCAGGCGGTTACACACTCGCTCCTCCCCTTTAGAGGCTGACGCCCTCTACCGCCTCCTGCCAAAATATTTTTCATTCCAAAAGCCCTTTTTTAATTGAAAAAGCTCCCTCCTGCCCTCTAGTGCTCAAATATATATTTAAAAATACAGGAGGACCCCCACACACACATCTGTGGGATCGGTATCCACTGATTCTCTTATCATGGATTGGGAAATATGAAAAATATTAAAAGAAAAATTCCCAGAAATACACTATGTATTTCTAAGGATGAAATTTCCAGAACTGGCCACTAGAGGGAGCCAGAGACCACGCTGTATCTAATTTACTGTATATCCACAGTTTCATTACCATAAGTGGCCAGTAGAGGGAGCCATGCTATGTATAGCATTTGCTATTATTTTATTCCTGGTGTGGACTGTGGGGGTGGAACTAATTAATTAGTGATGCTGCTGACAGAGAAGAATGGAAACATGTGAAAGGTATTTCCTCCAATACTCTATGACTAAACGACAATCTTGTCGACCTCCTGGCCCCACAGAACGGCACAGTGACCTGCTCGCCCACCCCGTGCCCCCCGACGTCCTGCAAGCGACCCATCACTCCGCCCGACCAGTGCTGCCCGCAGTGTACAGGGGCCTGCCATTATCACGGGCACCTCTACAAGAGCGGAGAAGCCTTCAGTTCGCCGCAAGACCCTTGTCGTACTTGTAGCTGCCTGGTGAGCAAAGGGAAGCGGGATTGGTGCCCAGTGAGTCAGGGAGAGGAGGGGAGGGCCTTTGCTGTGCATTGATGGCCTGGTGGCTTCCCGTGGACTTGGGGAATACAGCCCTTGGCGCTGCAATCCATTCCATGCAGAGCTTTGGGAGAGTTAACCTTTTTGTACTACAAATCTGACAATCCCCCAGCAAGCATGGGTATTGTAGTCCAAACCTACCCACACACCCCGCTTCTCCAAATTTTGATACCTCAGGAGCATCCAGGGTTAGCAGTTCGAAGGCCATGAAATGTAGGTTTATTTCACCAG